TTTCACAAATATGACAAACTGTTGCAGTGTCAAATTGAAATTGTTGTAAAATAGTTAAATATTCCATTTGAATGATATTTGTAAAATAAGTATTTGCTTTTTCAGCCAATTGTTTTAATTCAGCCATGAACCAATCAACACAATCTGGACCCCGATATGATTTAAATTCTGAAAGAGATTCATCGAAATTGCAATATACATAGAAAGCAAAACTTGTCGGGATATGTTTTTGATATGTTGATGTGTTTGTGTGTGTACTTGCTATAGGTTCTAAGAGACTTTCAGTGTCAGCATACACGACAAAGGGAACATTTTCATTATTTCTGTAATTCTTAAACTTTAAAATTTTGTCTTCTTCTTTAGGTAAAATCACTCGACACATGTTTATTTTATCACAATCCATTTTATGATTATTAAACGATTTTTCGTATTTAAAATGGCATAAACATCTATCACAAAGTATGGTTCGATTATGATCTTTTGTTATTTGAGATTTTACTAAACGAGATAAATTATTGATTAATGCATAATGATAAACTTTGTTATTTTGAAAATTATCATCATCATCGTTTAAATTAATTTCAGTATTTTCTATCATTAACAAGTGACAAGTAGGTTCATTTGATTTGTTTTTACTTAAATAAAGTGAAACAATTTCATTCTTTTTACTACTTTTATCAATTCCATAAACATTAATACTCAGGTTGTTTAATTTTTCAAATTTTGGAATATCGCTGAGAGAAATGGGGAATTCAAAATCATCAAACTTTAAATCAGTATCTTTAAAGTGAGGATATGAACTTGTACAATCTACGTGACTATTCGCTGGAAAACGTTGTGCAATGATAGACCATAAAAACAGTACTTATCAAAATTTTTAACATTAATCACAGCTCTTTTATCAATTATAAACTTTGGCATTCTTATAAAAGTTGAGTACCCAGCCGCAAGAGGGGCATATTTATTTATATTAACACTTAAATTTATAATTTCATTTAAAGACCAACCTGACTTTTTTTGTTGAAAATCATTAATCTTAACTAGAAGCTTTTCACGTATTTTATGATCAAACCATTCGTCAAAATTTGTTATTCTAAAATTTTTGAATTTTTAGTATTGAAATATTTAATATCTTCAATTTCCCTACCCTCTTCTAGAGCACTAAAATTTGCTGCAAGAATAACATTAACTTTCATGTTTCCCGTCTTTTTAAAAGCATTTTTTAATCGAGAAATAATCATTTTATTTGCATCACTTAGAAAACTGTCTATATTTTTATGTTTTAAATTTATAACTACACCTGTTCTAATTCGATTTTCGAAAGCATTCTCTAATTCTTCCCACCTGATCCATCTCTCATCCTTTTTAAATAAACCCGTTCCTGTTCTTCTTAATTTCTTAAACTTTCTGCTGTTTGCTTTCAGTAGTCCAATAGTTGACAAAATCTTTCTTTTCTCTCCACATGACACGGATCTATTTCTTAACAATTTATTCAGCAATCTAATGTTCTTTACACTATTATTTATCCAAAAATTTAATTCCTCCGTTGTAGTTTTTTTACCTAATGTTTTAAAAGCATCGTTCATAATTTTCACAAAATCTTTACAATAACTGGAGCTTTTATCAGTTTCCATAACTTTGCTTGCTTTGTTTAATTTATCGAAATTCATTTTTGTCACTTGTATTTAAACTATCAATTTTTTACTACAATGATTAACTCCGATCAGACTAAAATTGAACTTTTAACTATAGCGATTTTTTTAAAACGAGATGTTTAAGCGCACTTGAATTTCACTATGCTTTGCTAATATGTTCATCAGCCAACTAAAACTGCAAGAATGATTTCGTTTAGAAAAATTGTCCGCTTTATATACACAAGATATGACCTATTTGACCTTGAAGTTAATTATAGATTTCGTAGAATTGCGGTAAGTTAAAAGCATATTCATATGAAAAGTACCGAAAATGTTTGTAAAAATTCCTTAGATAAAACTTAGTCAAAACAAAATAAATAAACTGTATAAAGCAGACCGGAAGCAATAAATCAAAGATATCATAAACAACAAGTGCATGGGAAAAATTCCTTAGATAAGAATCTAATATAACAAGATATCAAATTACATGTAAAACAATAGCTTAAATGAAGAAAATAATTCCTTAGATAAGAATATATCAAATTACACAAGCAAAAATTATAGGAAGTGTGACGTCATATCCATCTCAGCATTATGGTCTGAATCGCACCCTCACCCGTGATGTCATATCTGCCTCAGAATCATGGTCTGAATATTACCCTCCCAATGGTTTGAATCTGGGCTAAAAGTGTCGGTGCAGGAATGTGTATGACGTCATTTCCGCCTCAGCATCACAATCTTAACCCCCCCCCCCCCCAAATGGTTTGAGTCTGGGCTAAAAGTGTCGGTAACATGTCGGTGCAGGGATCTGTGTCTAGAACGCTCTCTGTATATCTACTTATACTAATTGATCAAACGATTAATAGAATTATTACATTATCAAAAATATTTTAGGGGGTGAAAAAATATTTGGAACAAACAACTCTAAGTGTGATGGTACCAATTTGTACGCGTTAACCGAGCTAAGAGTTCGAATTTCGTGTTAACCGAGGAAGTCTCTATACAGTTAACATATAAATTTATATGCATCTATGCTGGGACCGCAATTTTTGTTCGTGTTAAGAGAGAATTCGTGTTAAACGTATGGTTCGTAAGCTTACGCGATATATTTATGGTTGAGGTAAGCTTAAATAGTACGGCAGTGGGTAAATTTTTTTTCAATTTAATATTTATTTATTAATTATATTATAAATTATTTTGTTAATATTTTCCATAACCTGTAAACTTACCACAACCTTACCTCCACCTTACAACTTAATTACTTAATAACTTAATTTACCACAGTCTTTACATGGAAGCTTACCTCAACTTTTACTTGTAGGCAGGGTTGTGAAGTTACGTGTAACTCCATAGTTTTTAACGTAAATTACATGGTTTTTTACATTGTAAAATAAGTATTTTACCCCCACCATAAGAAAATGCATTGTGTTTGAAATTTTTGAGGTAATTTACATACGTAATATACGTAAAATACTCATGTAATTTACGGGCAGGGATGGGTTTTGACGCGTCACTCGAGATTTTATACGTATAATACATTTTGACGTATTATACGTATAAAACTGTATAAAACTAGGTAAAATACATAATCATGATAGCAGACTTATTTTGACATGTTACCCTCTTTACCATAACCTCAAATGTTTGTTATTTATTATTCATATTCCCATTATTCCTATATTTAAATTTAAAACAAATTTTTATTTGATAAAAAAAGTTTTGCACAAATAAAAGAAATTAAATATGTAAAGATTTTAATTAATAAACATTTTATTTTACTATTAAAAAAAAGATAAAAATTTTGTTAATTTAAAAACTAAGAAATTTTAAAATACTATCTTTCAGTAACCGAGTTACGTCATCACATGTAATATACATAATGTAGAAAACCTAGGACGTAATAAACGTAGTATTATACATGTATAAAACCACGTATTATACATAATGTATTATACGCACTAGGGTGTCCCAAAAAAATAAAAAGTTTTTTTTTATTGGGTCTCATCCCCTAAAAATCTTTTCATTTGTGTAAAAATAAGAACACAATATTTGGAAATAAAATTTTTTAATATTAACCCGTAGTTCAGAGCCTTTGAACCATAAAAACGCTAAAAATGTAGTGTTTTTTCATTTTTAACATAAATATAAATGTCAAAATATAATGATTAGGGTGTCATTGTAAAGATAATTAAATTACCTTTCGATCCATATGTCACAGTATAAGATTCAATGAAAATTAAGAGTGTTACAGTCGATTAAAGATTAAATTTCATGGAAATTTTGATGATTATTAGACACTTAAGTAAAGAGTACTTTTTTCACATTAAACAGTAAAAAATATTTAGATTTTAATTTTTTTATTAAGAGTCTAACATTACAAAAATCCGTAATTTAATCGTCGATTAAATTCGTCTCAAAATCCGTTACCCGATTTTTAGACGAATTCGATCGACTTTTATGAAGTTCTTCGCCATTTTGAAATTTGAAAAACTGACATTGGACTCTAAATCATCGACTTCAGTATTTCTTAATCACTGATTTTAGTACGTTTAGTGGTTATATCTAAACTTATTGTTTCAATTTTTGCTGCAAATGTTGAAGGAATGATAAAAATTAAAAAAATAGTTTCGTTCACTAAATCTAGTGTATAATTGTCATATTCAATCAAATCGAGGTCCACAAGGGCTAAAAATTTTCGTAATGTTAGACTCTCAATAAAAAAATTAAAACCTAAATATTTTTTACTGTTTAATGTAAAAAAAGTACAAGTTACTTAAGTGTCTAAAAAATAAAAATCATCAAAATTTTCATAAAATTTGATCTTTAATCGACTGTAACACTCTTAATTTTCATTGAATCTTAAACTATGATATATGGATCGAAAGGTAATTTAATTATCTTTACAATGACACCCTATTCATTATATTTTGACATTTATATTTATGTTAAAAATGAAAAAACACTATATTTTTAGCGTTTTTATGGTTCAAAGGCTCTGAACCACGGGTTAATATTAAAATTTTTTATTTCCAAATATTGTGTTCTTATTTTTACACAATTTGAAAGAATTTTAGGGGATGAGACCCAATAAAAAAAAACTTTTTATTTTTTTGGGACACCCTAATACGCACCCATCCCTGTTTACGGAATGTATATTACGTTCGCAACCCTGCTTGTAGGCTTACTTCAATATTTACTTGTAAATTTACCTAGACCTTCACTTTTAAGTTTTTAACTTCGTTTAATCCACACCACAAACTTACAGCAAGATATTGTGCTATGTGGGTTGAATATCAGAGACAAAAGTTTAAATGGCTGTTTTCACTTATTTTCGCTCTGTACAAAATTTGAAATCAAAGAACTTACCTCCATCTAATTTCAATGACGATCGCCACTCAACAGGGAAAAATTCAACTCTTTGCGTAAATTTTGGGAAATATCTAGGTAACAACCATTCCACACACTCTCTGAATCTGAATAAAATTATGTTATTAACATTTGCATACACTGTTAGAAATTTCTGTAATTTTACAGCAACTTTACAGTACAAACGTACTGTGAATTTACAGTTTTTCCTGTAATAACACATAAATGTAGTAAATTCACAAAAATGTTGTAATTTTTACAGTAAAACCTTACAAATACAGCAAAATTTTATTGTATTTGAATAATTCACAGCAAAAAAAATTGTACTTTTTATTTACAGTAAATTGTTTGCAAAATCACAATATAAAACTCAAAGAATTTTACAGATATTCATTTTGTGATTTTAGCTGAGGTTTTTTACATTATAACTATAGCATTGACTGAATTTTAACCTTCAGAATATGATTTTAAGTCCTAAAAGTATAGCTGAATTATTTTTTAAGCTTAAAAATAGTTTCAATAAAAACTATTTTTTAATTATATTGCATTTTAGTAGTGAATAATTTTAGACTGAAAAAAAGAATAGAGTATGGTACAGATCCCTCCCTAGGGGTTTCAAGACCTTGCCGTTGGTGGGAGGCGCACGAGGGGCTTTACCCAGTGGGAGGCTACTTCTCGATATCTCTCGTGGGGAATGGGGGGTCGAACCCTTCAAAATGGGTCGGCCGCTACAGAAACCGAATTTTCTGTGTTTCGCTGGGCAGTGTCTTAGGGCACGGGGATTTAGAGGGATATCGAGAGAGAGGGGATGGACAGAGGCTTAACCGCGGGTCCATTCCGAAGACTTCTCACTGGTGGAAGTCTGACCAAGAAGAAAACCTTCCATGGTTACGTTGGCTGTGCCATGGCGATTGAGGTGCGAGTCTCTGCCACCTAATCCGTGATGAACTCGTGTCCATGGATGAATGATACTAGGGTTAACAAATCCGTCGGGTTCTTCCGTGGGGGGGTTGGACGGGGGACGACCATCGCTGGGCATTACTTAGCTCTCGTAAAGTTCGGGAACGGTTGTGTTACAGGAGGGGCCCGTCCTCTGGTCGACCCGTCCCCGTGGGGGGCTCGAATGGAGGTATCTTTAACGAGACTCCGAGATACCAGGCGAACTCTCGGATGTATTTAGCCTTATCCTTGAATAGAGGCTCTTCAAGGACGGACCTTTTATTTCCTCTTTTCTCGTGGGACCAAAATGGATACTACTAATTTAAACAAAAATCGAAGCAATAACGCGGAACAGGCGGGCATTGCAGAGCCCCCTTCGGGGAATCTCAATGCTGTCGCGGGGACTACGCTTGGGGCTGGGGTTGGGACCACAGGGGACCAAACCTCGCAACAAGTAGATAGGGTACAGCAACACTTGGGTAACCTTGCCCTTGAGGGCAAGAAACTAAGTGGGGCTGCGGTAAGGAGAAGGCGGGAGCGAGCTCGGGACTCTCTGAGAACCGAATCGCATACCGCTGGCTCTTCTCAGAACACTTCTGGAGTGGGGGGGAGGGCGTCGGGGTCCGGGTCGGGGAAAAGACGGCAGGACTCGGAGGAGGCTTCCCCTAGCAATAGAATGCCGCCAAAGAAGATAAGGGGCCCACAAGGGGGAACCTTATCGTTTGCGGAGATCACTAGATCGTCATTAGCCGGGGCGATCGTCGCGGAAGGCTATCCTAGGGTCCAGATGACGTTGGCTAATCTGAACCAATTAAGGGTAGCAATTCATGAGGAGATTGGGGGGGACGAAGTCGGACCCTATCCTCATTTTGGAGAGGTTCACCTCACTAGGGGAGCGATCCTAGTAGAGTGCCTGGACTCAGAATCTAGGGAATGGCTAAATAGCTGTATACCTAGGTTCAGTCAGGCGTTAGAGGGTTTTGCCATCAAGGTGGTGGATCCGGCTGAGCTAATCAAGCTGGTAAGGGTTGTGGCGTGGGTACCCGGTCCTTGGGTGAACCAGGCTTCAATCCTTAAATACCTCGGTAGACAAAATACCGGGGTGGATACATCCGCGTGGAGGGTGTATTCGGGAGGCGAGGGGAGAGCAGACCAAGCTTCGGCTGTGGGCTGGACTCTCGCGTTAGGAGTACTAGAGAGCGACATTGAAGCTCTCCAAGCCCGGCAGTTGAAACTGTGTTTTGGGCTAGGTCAAATCACTCTAAGAGTGGCGAGGCAAGGTACTGACACAGCTGCTGGTCAGGGTACCCAGGGAGGGGAAGCGACTGAGGAAACCGTGAATCAGCATTAAAAATGGCTGCTTCCGGGATTCATTGTGCGCAGATTAATTTGCATCATTGTAAGGGCGCTTCGGCGATTTTAGCCAAGAGCTTGACAAAGATGCAGACAGCTTTAGCCTTTATTCAAGAACTTTGGGTTTTCAAGGGGAGAATTAGAGGTCTGAACGGCTGTGGCGAGCTGGTTAGTTTACCACAGGAACCAGTTCCAAGGGCGTGTCTGATCTATAAAGGTCTAGATGCTTTCCCACTTTTGGAATTAACTACTAGGGACTTAGCTGTAGTTAAAGCTAAGTATCTAGAAAAGAACGGAAATAAAAGGGAGGTGGTAGTAAATTCACAATGGTAATAGCGTCCGCTTACTTTCCGGGAACAGGGGATGAACCTGCACCACCAAGAGAGGTGGAGAGGTTGGTAGATTACTGCCAAAGGCGAGGGCTTCCCTTGTTAATAGGGTGTGATGCTAATGCGCATCATGTTGTTTGGGGTAGCACAGACATTAATGACAGAGGCAGAAGACTTTTAGATTTTCTGTTAGATACAGATTTAGACATTTTAAATCAGGGTAATGAGCCGACTTTCGTTACTGTCAACAGAAAAGAGGTGTTGGATATTACGATCTGTTCCAAGTCTTTGTGTGAGGGCGTGAGGGACTGGAGGGTGTCTGATGAGGATTCCCTCTCAGACCACAGGCTTATTACGTTTAGATTGGAATCGAAGGATCGGGAACAGAAGTGGGGTCGTAATCCTAGGAGTACCGACTGGGCTTCATATAGTGAAGACCTCAGGGCCTCCATGGCGTGCTTCCCCACTTCCTATGGAACGATGGAGGAGTTAGAGCTTGCAGCGGAATATCTGCGAGATTCTATTATCTGTTCCTTTGAAAGGAACTGTGTAGTTAAGAAAATGGGCTTCAATGGAGGCGGTAAATGGTGGACCCCCCGTTTGGAGGAACATAGGAAAACCGTAAGAAAGCTCTTTAATAAGGCTAAGAAACGTAGGCATCAGCGAGCATGGGATGAATATCATACCGCTCGCGATTCTTACAAGAAAGAAGTAGAGAGGGCAAGGGGTGTCAGCTGGAGAAGTTTTTGCGAGGGAATCGAGAGGGTACCAGAAGCTTCAAGGCTTCATAAAGTACTAGCTCGAGACCCAATGGCAAAATTAACTACAATTAAGCTGCCTAATGGGCAGTATGCCCAGGATAAAAGGGAGTGTCTAAAGCACTTGATGGAGGTAAACTTCCCGGACTTTAGAGAAGGTCTGGAGAACAGCCATGGCATAGGACCAGGTAGGAACCGAGGATATCGGGAACACTGGAAACTAGCAGCCAGGGTTGTAACTCCGGAAGGGATTGATTGGGCAATAAGCACTTTCAAACCATTTAAAGCTTCAGGGGGGGACGGTATATATCCGGTTCTTTTGCAAAAGAGATTGGATTGTATTAGAGTACCCCTGTGTAAAATTATGAGAGCTTGTATAGCTCTAAGTTATACACCGGAGTCTTGGAAAAAGACGAGGGTTGTGTTTATTCCGAAGGCCGGTCGGTCAGGGTATACTGCGGCGAAGGACTTCAGGCCAATTAGCCTAACCTCTTTTATATTAAAGACGTTAGAGAAACTGGTGGATAATTTTATTAGACAGGAATGTCTTAGAGATTTTCCCCTGCATCAGGGACAGCATGCATATAGAGCAGGCTTCTCAGTAGAAACAGCCCTCCATTCGGCAGTAGGCAGAATAGAGGGACAAATTAGCAGCCAGGGTTATTATACGCAAAGTTATGCGGATGATTTCCTTATAATTATAAGAGGGCACGCAATCGAGACCCTCTTAGAACTTACGGAACGTGCACTTAAGATTGTCAGGGATTGGTGCAATCTGACTGGACTTTCTGTAAACCCGGAGAAAACGAACATAGTAGTTTTCACAAGAAAATATAAGGTACCGAGTTTGAAAAAACCGATATTTTATGGAAAAGAGATTTCCTTTTCTGAATCGGCTAAGTATCTGGGAGTAATACTGGATAAAAAACTGGTTTGGAGGGAACATTTCGAATATCAGTATGGCAGGTTTTGTACCGCGTTTTGGGCGTGTAGAAGGGCGATAGGGTCATCGTGGGGACTAAGGCCTTATATGGTCAACTGGCTCTATCAGATGATCTTAAAACCAAGGTTTCTTCACGCGGTGGTTGTCTGGTGGTCTAGGACTTAACTGATAACGGTTAAAGAGAAACTAGGCCAACTACAGGCAATGATTTTCAGGGGTATTACGGGGGCAATGGGGACCACGCCAACAGCTGCGTTGGGATTCATGCTTGCCGAGGTACCTCTGCATATTGCCGCATTAAAGTGTCTGAGTCATTAGGAGAATATGCCACGGTCTGGCAGGCAGAGGTCTGTGCGATTTTAACTTGCGCCCAAACATCCATTCGAAATGGAACAAAGGGCAAGAGGATTAGTATTTGTGTGGATAGTCAAGCGGCCTTAGGGGCTCTGAAAAATCCCACAATATAATCAAAACTCTTCTGGGAATGCCGCAGCGTACTAGATGAGTTGGGTTCAGTAAATAGACTTTCATTGATTTGGGTACCGGGACACTCGGGAATCAAGGGTAATGAAAGAGTAGACGTCTTGGCGAAAACCGGTTCCGAGACGAAATTTATAGGTCCTGAACCAGCAGTGGCAATAATGCCATGCTTGGTTAAGGGAGCCATAGAAAGATGGGGTGAAAAGGAACATGAGAAGTATTGGGCGAGCGTTGGGGTGGGAAGGCAAGCGAAAACTCTGTTGGGGTTAGCACTCAACAGGAGGCGAGCGAGCGATCTCCTAAAACTCGATAAGATCAGAGTTAGAACCGTAGTTCGTCTACTTACGGGTCATGGACTATTGAACTACCATCAGCATAAAATAGGCAGACAAGTTTCACCTATGTGCAGACTGTGTGGGGAAAGTAACGAAACTTCGACTCACATATTATCTGAATGCCCAGCGTTAGCTAGGATCAGGCTATCTAGCTAGGGTCAAGCAATTATTGACCCTAAGCAGGTGAGCAACCTATCGATAGAAGAGATACTGGACTTCTGGAGAAGAACAGGACTCTAAGAAGTTGCTACAAACGAGCGAACTGGAGTTTGGTACAATGGGTTCTATAACCTAGGTGCTTACTTTCCCCTCTTGAGGAAAATCCAGCTCGATCTCGGTGTCAGATTAGATTAGGTTAGATTAGATGGTACAGATGTTTCTTATATTTGATACTCTAACAGATTTAGTTTATTTTTATTTTTTGTCTTATGCAAAATTTTAATTTAACTTTACTTTAGTGCGGAGATGTATAATTTTAATAAATATAACATTAATTTTTATAATTTGACAAAAAGATAATATTTTATTCCTTATTAATTTGCGATTATCACATTAAATTAATTTATTTTTAACTGTCGATCGAAGAAAAGTCATTCAACATTCATATAATAAATAATTTAATTATTATAATGACTATTTCGCGTCGGGCCAATATATACATAATACTTTGCAAGAGACTTTCATAGCCTCCCTTGGTCGAGCGCGTCTAGGCGCAGCTCCCAAGGTTGATGGCTCCATACAAGATAGGCAACACTATACGACTAAGGGCCAGTTTCACCAACTGGCGGTTAAGCTTGGTTCAACTGAACTCGTTCAACTCTTGATCGTCAGAGTTAACCGCTAGTGCGTTTCATCAGCCTAATCCCAGTTTAAAATGAACGCGTTTAGTTAACCTACATTCCCTAGAATTTCCTAGTGGTTATGGCGCTTAAATCTAACCACGGAATGTAAATAAACAACTGAACTAACCTAAAATATAAATGTCGCATAGGTTCTTTTAAGCTTAATATCTATTATTTTAAATTAAAACCTTAATAAAAAATGTGTAGTGGAGTAAAAAACAAGTTGTTCTTTTCATGATCATTTAGCTTCCACAATATAATATATATACCAATTGCTTAATTTCTTATTTTAGAATAATTATTTTAAAGTATTAAAAAAAATTTCAAAAAATACAAAATTTGAATTTTTTGTTAAAAATAAAAATATCGTCCGATTAATTTTATTAATATTGATAAAATATGTATATACTTTATAGTTTATATACATGAATCGATTCGTTTTCATGGCAGAAATACAATTTTGACAAGAGTGAATAAAAATTTTAATAAAGAAAAAAGTTATTTCAAAAATTACAAAATTAAAATTTTTTGTTGTAAGCAAAATTAGACATAGAGAGACAAACTTTTTTATTAAAGTCCTTCTTTATATTTTCTTAATTTAATAACATAATAGTACATATTTTGTGATTGTGGTAGTAGATCAGATTTGTAAATTTCAATACAAATGTCAATTAAATGACCATTTAAAATTTGTAATGGCTTTTATATGAATATTTCTAAACATTTGTCAGATTTATTATACTTTTTTGAAAATCCTTCTTTCTTTATATTTTTTTAATTTAATTTACATTTAATAAAGTTAAATCTGTTGAAACAAAGCATCTACATGCAATATTGTTTTATTTTGATAGTGGGTCAGTTTGGAATAGAATGCTTTATATATATAATGATTCCACTACTTATTTTGTTAAGTAAATAATACACTGAATGTTAATTAATTTTATATATATAGGTAGTGGTCCCTTAAGAAAATTAACAAATCGTAAACGTTCGCACTGCGCTTCGGGAGAGTTCGGCAAGTTGAACGCGGTCAACTCTGCTTAAACCGACAAAATTCATCGATTAAAATATAAACTTAGTTCAACCGAGTTGAACGTGGTTAAGTAGATGGTGAAGCGTACGCAGAGACTTGATCTCGTTCAACTTTGAACGAGTTCAGTGCTTGAACTAGTTTGGTGAAACTGGCCCTAAGGGTTCAAATCGTGGCGTCGCATTTCCGTAATAATGATAATAAAATGCTAATAAAACTTTTTTTTTAGTTAATTTACTTTTATTATAACATATCAGAAAACAATATTAACAATATCAGTTCAATATCAATATCATATAAACAATATTAACAATATTATTTATTATATAATATTAAACAATATCAGTTTTGATTTTTTATGTAAATATTCAAATGGTAGAATTTCCGAATTAATAGTAGGGAATATTTCCGAAATACATGGTATACTGTAAATTTACAGCACTTTAGTAAAGTAAAATTACATTATTATTTTGATGGATAATTGTTTCTTGTACTTTTGCTGTAAAATCACAACAGAATTTTCTAACAGTGTAATACTTTATTTATTTCAACGAAAATAAACTAAAATATACATACGCAGTTGTATTTCGAATTATTTTTCCAGTATCTCTTTTCTGGCCGATTCCGTGCACGACAAACACTAAATGGTCAATGTCATTTGGTTTGTCATCCAATGTTGCAAGTTGTTTATACCCTCTTCGTAGTTGGTAACCAGTGGCTGAAAAAATTATTAACATAACAAAACATGTTCAGTTTTCTTTCTCTTCTATTTTAAAAATGAGTGACATGAGCATTTACTTTTTCAATAAAGAAAAGTCTCACTCTTCTTTCACTTACATTTAGTAAAACCAAATTTCGATGTAACGCTTCGCATTAATTTGGAGGGTGTATACTCGCTGTATAAAGTTACATCATTTATTGCAAGCCAATCAACACGAAAGGCAGGAAAGTGTTCTGTATGCAATACTGAAATAAAAACAAATATAATATTTTAAATTAATACATTCTTTTTTCGATTTTGGGAAGACATTTAAAAGCCCGGCTAATGTTTGATTATGCGCAATTAACATCGGAGCGTGCCCGAGCCGAAGCGGTCGTTTCGTTTTTGGATTTTGAGGTCGTCATGACGTTTAGCGACCTTATTACTAGCGAACCGTTGAGTCATACTCTTTATACACAGATAAAAGAGCGAATTATTTCATATTTTTCAGTCTCATCGAAAGTGAGATTTAGGCGATTATTGAAAGGCAAGATTCAATGGAGACAGAAAACACTTTCTAATATTAAGTAGAATACGGAACCTAAGTCAGGATAAATGCAGTGATGAAATTATGAGAGCGGTGTTTTTGCCTTATCTAGCAAAGGCTCGCCGAAGTCGCGGAGGAGTATAAAATGAGCTCAAAGATTTAATTGATAAAATAAATAAATTAACTGACAAAGTAGATGCACTTCTCAACGAAAACCATTTACTCCGAACCGAAACCGATTTCACTCTCGATCTGAGTCGCAGTATGGAGATAACCATAAATTCAGCAATGACGGCGACAAGCCGATTTGCTATTTTCATAAAAAATTGGGGAAATCCGCATTTAGATGCCGAAACCCATGCAAGTTCAAAGTAGGATAATCAGAACGATTTAAAGAAATGCGAGCGACGCATTAAGGTTTGCAACACCGAAAACGGTTCAAAGAATTCTCCAAACTCAAAAAATTGAATGAACGATTACTCAGAGAAAATGAAGATTTATTAAATTTCCGAAACGGATTTTTAAAGGAAAGTAGAGTAGCGCTCTTAGATACAATATTGACCTTCTGGAGAAAAATTATTTCTTAATGTTATTTGACGTCAAATATAGCTAAAAACGGCCCAGCAAAAAAAAAGTATTCAGAATAGAGAAAAGTATTGGTGGAGACGTTCGGTGAATGCGTTTTCCCGACAAAACCGTATTGGTGGGTTACGGTGAATACATTTTACAGTGGAACCTCGATTATCCAAACCTCTGTTATCCGAACCCTCTATTATCCGAACCGAAAATCATTTTATCCGAACTTCTATTATCCGAACTTTTTTTTGACCTCCCGAATCTTTCAAAGGAAAATAACGATATTTATGCCAGAAAAATCTTTAAAAATTCTGAATTCTATGTTTTATTAATATATTATTATGAATTAATATATATATACGTATATATACTTATGTATATTTAAAAAATGGATTAAATGAAATATAAATATAATTCAACTGTCGATTTTTTTACTTTAATTATATAAAAAAAATTAAAATCTCTATTATCCGAACTTTCGATTATCCGAACCCGGCCTTGCCTAGGTTCCCGTGTGGAAATTTGTCACGTATCTGTACCGTAATGATATAGTTTCACTAGTTCCTATCTAGTTGCGATACCGTGAAATGTTGTAGTAACTATCTTGAAATGTAACACTATGGACATCAAGTTTCTAGATAGTTTTACTATATCAAAACAATATAGTGAAATATTATAAAGCTATAACACGGGCTCTAGTATAAATTTCATTTTTAGAAACTTGTTTAATACTTCTATATTGATTTACGGTAAATATATTTGTAAAAATTAATAATAATAATAATTAATAACATATGTACAATATAATTATATAACAATATTAACAAAGTTTATAATTATAATATATAAACTATTGTTAATTTTTAACAATATTAAAGATTTTAAAAGATGCAACAATTTCATTGAATTTAAAAAAAAATTTCGATTATTCGCTTTCTTCTTTTATACCATATTTTATTTTTAACAAGTCCAGTTATTTATTTGTTATTATTTTAAATTCTCATTAAGAATTTCAACCTATACTACACTTCACATTATTAACATAAATCACTTAAATTAAGACGGAAAAATATCGCACGCACGGGGGTTCGAACCCTAGACCTTTGGGACGCAATACGAATACACATACCACACAGCCACGCTGACTTGGAAGATGTGTTGCTTAAAATACCTTTTCAGTTTCGAGACTGCAATTTTTGCCTTTATTTATAATAAATTGTTTGTAAATGGTATATTTAAATCTATATACTTAATAACATTATTAATTACAATATGTAAATAATAATAATATAATAATATTATAAACATAAAGAAATTACTTGCAGATTATGATTGTGAAGTTTCACTAGGCAGAATTGATCTAGATCTACAATATGAAGTAGTTAATGTAGTGAAACTATACAAATTCTAGACCGTATCCCAATGTAAAGCAGTTGTTGTAGTGAAACTATAGAGATTCTAGAACGTATTCCAATGTAAAGCAGTTAATGTAGTGAAACTATACAGAATCTAGACCATTTCGGTATAGTTTTACGTGACTAGCTTTACGAGATGTTTGCGGTACAGTTTCTATCTCGTATATAGTTTCACCAGACACTTTTCTGCACAGGTTAGTTCGAATAATCGAGGTTCCGCTGTACTTACCGTGAATACAATTTTTTTAAACTTTCGATTTAAAGATTCCTAAGCAAAGTTGAGAATATTTATAAAGAGCGTAAGTGACCTGAAGTATAAAAATGACTATTTCGAGAAGGAAATAAGAAATTTTGAGAAAAAACGAAAAATTAAATGTCCCAGTAAAAAAAAAGTATTGAGTGGAGCGTTTAGGAATTGAGTGAAACTCTGAGCCAATACGGATTCGAGTAAAAACCGAATTGGGACGTTTGACTCAATCTTTTTTTCATCCGCCGAATACGGTCTTATTTTAGCATTAAAATTAAAATCACATGAGCAGAGTAAACATTATAAATGGAAAGCGTTTTGTTTTCTCCATTTGAATTTACCACAATTCTCTAGGAACTTTCTGTCGGTAACAGTAGATTTCTTTTAGTCCATTTAAACTTACTTCATTTATCGAAATCGGCATTTTTACATTTCAGGACAATTGTGCTTTCAATTTATAATATGTACTCTGCTCATGTGATTTTAATTTTAATGCTAAAATAAGACCGTATTCGGCGGATGAAAAAAAGATTGAGTCAAACGTCCCAATACGGTTTTTACTCGAATCCGTATTGGCTCAGAGCTTTACTCAATTCCTAAACGCTCCACTCAATACTTTTTTGTTTACTGGGGTGACAAACAGATTGTCAAATTTTGATCAATTACCATATGCTTTTCTGTGCCTACAACGCAACGTATGATGATTAAAAGGAACTTTGACGTTACCGACGGAACTTACTGTTTCACATACATTTACTTGCATTTCTCAAGTTTCTGTCGGTATATCGTCAATGTTCCTTTTAATCATCATACTTATTCATCATATTTATTCACCATAACCCACCAATACGGTTTTGTCGGGAAAACGCATTCACCGAACGTCTCCACCAATACTTTTTCTCTATTCTAAATACTTTTCTTACTGGGGGGTTATTAGCACTTTTAGGGTAAAAATGGGCACTAAAGCCGGTGATTTGCACATTAAATGGCAGAAGGCATTTTGCAATGCAAATGTGGATTTATCAGGAGCAGTTTGTCAAAAGAAGGCTAACGAAATATGGACCGAAGTAAAAACAGATACTAAAACATTTGACGAAATGAAATTAAGGAAGATTTCGACTATATCAGCAATTAGTGACATCTATTAGACGTCAATTGAACTCTTTGGTTTAGAGTCAGGTGTTATTCTTAAGATAATTATTATTAATAATAATAATATAATATCTTAATATAATAATATTAATAATATTAATATATATAATATAATATATAATATCTTATCTTATTTAAGATAATTATTTTCTTTTTTTACCAAAGAGTTCAATTGACGTCTAATAGATGTCACTAATTGCTGATATAGTCGAAATCTTCCTTAATTAAAATTCTTAATCAGCAAATAATTTCCTACATTAATTTGACGAAATGGAAAAAATTATTATTAAGAAAATTGATGTTTTAGAGGCCAAAAAATTTGAAAACAAGAGTGCCTATTCTTTATTTTTTATAAAGGTAAAAAAAATTTTCTTATAATTATACACTGTAAAAAATTTGGGGATTTTCCCCTGAGGTTCCTTGTGGAATATTCCACAAATTCACGGGGAAAAGTATTTTCACTACGATTTTGGGGAATTTTCCACAAATTAGTGAAATTTTGAACAAACTTGGGGAAAAGTGATAAAATATTAGGGAATTTTCTACAAAGCGAAGGGGAAAAAATTTTTCACTACAATTTTGTGCAATTTTTCACATAATAGTGAAAATTTCAACAATATTATAGGGAAATTTGTATATAATTTTAGGGAATTTTCCACATATTAGTAAGAAAATGTCATTTTATGAAAGCTTTGTGGAATTTTCCCAAATTTAATGAAAATTTCCACAAAGTTGAAAAAACTTTTTTAAATTTTATAAAATGGGTTAATTTTTACTAAATTGCATGTACAAAATTATTAACATTTTTACAAAATGTATGATTTAGGGGCTAAAAAATTAATATTTATATTACAGTGAATAATGTAATGAATGAATAATTTAAATAACAATTTTTACTAGAAAAAGCATTTAGAAGAAATGAAATTAATTAAACTTTACAATTATTATAATTTTAATAATTTAATAATTATATAATAAAAAATACTTTCACTATGAACTACATAAATTTTTTGTTCTACTTATAGTAAAAATTTTATCTTAAAAATACAATTAATACTTTGGTAAAAAATTTTTTAATAAAGCATGTTTAACAAACAATTATAAACTATTTTTCACTTATAAAAAGCATTGCCATAAATAGTTAGGTTTATTAAAAGATATATACTATGGGGGGCCTTAAAATTTTTTTGCTCTTAGTCAAAAGTATAAAATGTTTTGAAGCATTTTCTCATTTTGAAAGATTTGGCACATCTGGTTTGTCTTTGGATGACCAACAATACCTAAGGGTTTCTCGTTGCAAGGGGACGTATTTTATGAGTTTCTCGCAGG